TAGCTCCTTCCCCCCTGGACAGAGCATCTCACAATGGGCTGATGTCATTCTGAGTCATGCAGTGGGTCCTTGATCACCTGTTAAACAGAACTGGCTCCTGGAGGGAGTTATCTTTGAGTCATGTGGGGAGACACTGATGGGCCCATTAACACAGGAGATAAGGAAAACTGCCCAGAAGACACCTGCTGCACAGATGGCAATAGAAAACATCTTGCCTTTCAATCTCGGACCACAACACTGACACGAGTGTCGTGGTTTGACACGGAAAAAGAATTTTCTTGGAAGGAAGAGGTCAATCCAGTTAGGGGTCAGGTTTGGATACTGACACTTGGAGTGACCAATTGAAGGTGGACACGCCTCTGAGAACACAGAGGGGTTAAAAGCAGAATTCCCTGGAGAACTCGCTCTCTTTGGTTCTGGTCATCAGAGAGTGCAGACCTCCCCTGCCCAGCCACGAGCTGGGTGGGGGAGGGGAGCCATGTGGCCTGGGGAGGTAGGCCAGGGGGTGAAGGGTTGGGAACCAAGCTGGGCCAGCTCCTGCGGACGGAAGGGTGCAGAACGTCTGAGATGTCTTTGTTCCCCCCCCCCCCCCCCAACCTAGAAGGAAAGAGATTGAGAGCCTGAGAGCCTGCAGACACCTGGAAGTTTGCTGGCAGAGAAGGAGAAGGGGCGGCGGGGGGGGATGATGCCCAGCGTGGGAGACAGGAGACAGAGTCCTGGGCTGAGATTTCAGCCATCCGGGGAGTCCGGGAATTTTAACCCTTTCCTGGGAAATGAAGGCTTTCTGAAATATTACTCCTCCTCAATTTGAAGGAAAGAGAGACAGCCTGGGACCTCAGATGTTAGGGAAAGAAAGGTGGGGGGAGATGATGGAGTGGATTTTGACTGGACTCTTCTTGTCAGCCATAGACTGAACCAATTATTCCTCCAAGAGAGACTGCATTTTAGGGGGATGCAATGGTGAGCCAAGAGACTCCTTCAGCAACTACCAGTTCAGGACCGAACAGAGAAAAACTGAGGAGGGTGTGATGATGCCCTCTGTCTTCAGAGAAGAAGAGAAGATCTCTGTTCTTGGACCCTTGGCCCCAGGGGAAAATGGGGGGGACTGTAGTCCCAAAATGAGACACTGGACTGTTGTTCCTGTTGGTCCTCGGCAAAGCATCCTTAAAGGAGCCCTATAAGCAGTCTCTGTCCATGCACGGTGGCGAGAGCACTGTGACATGGAGAGGAGAGTGTCACACTGGCCGGCGTGTCTGGGCGGTGCCATGTGTGATATGGAAACACAAGAGGTGGCAGCTGTGTTTCCTGGGGGTCTATGGTGCAAGGGAGGCTCCTCTCTCCCTGCAGATGGACTCAGTATTGATTATATTGAAGGGTGAATACTTGATTAAGGATGCAAATGTGTCTCACTGTGGTTTGTTGGAGTTGGATGGTAGTAGGAGGAATGTTTTGAAAGGTTTTAATTTTGAATTTTGTGTGTGTTTTTCTTCTTTTTTTTTCCTTTTATAGTAGCATAGTAGTAGTAGTGTAATAAAGTTTTTCCCTTGTTATTAATCTTGGCTTGCTTTGCTCTGTTCTCGATCGCATTTCACAGCATTCAATTGTCAGGTTGCATTTTCATGGGGCACTGGCAATTGTGCCAGTGTCAAACCATGACAATGAGGAAAAGAGATCTGTTAGGAGTAACAAAAACAGGGGATGTTCCTGGGGATTACAGGCAGATAGATTTTGTGGAGTTACCACACAAAGAGGGATACCGGTACATACTGGTACTAGTTGACACCTTCAGTGGATGGCCAGAAGCTTACCCCTGTTGCACTAACACAGCCAAGGAAGTGGTGAAAGTTTTGTTCAACTATATAATTTTGAGGTTCAGAGTTCCCTTGGGAATGTCATCAGATAGGGGACCACACTTTGTTGCAACAGTGGTTAAAGAAGTTAGCCGGATTTTGGGAATTACTTGGGATCTGCATGCACCTTATAGACATGAAGCAAATGGTAAAGTTGAACGTATTAATGAGACTCTTAAAACACAAATTAGCAAAATTTGTCAAGAAACATCCATTACATGGGTTCTGGCTTTGCCTATAGCTTTACTGAGAATCCACATACAACCAAGGTGAAGGGATAACGTCAGTCCCTATGAAATACTGTCTGTCAGGCCATATCAGTTTCCACATATTCCAGGTGAAATTCACATGAAGGGGAGACTTGATTTGCAGAAATATCTAATGGCTTTAGGTTCCACTTTGCAGAAGCTCCAGAATTACATTGTGCTATCCAGACCCATAGGACTGGACACATCTGCACATCCCTTCCAACCTGGAGAATGGGTCTATGTTAAGTGATGGGACAGTGATGGGACAAGCCAAGTGGAGAGGACCATTCCAAGTTCTACTGACCACCCTCACCACAGTCAAAGTCACTGGCAAAGGACCCTGGATTCACTACTCCAGAGTTAAGAAAGCTTATGCTCCTGAAACAACAGTAAAAACAGAGACTAATGCAGATGAAAACCTATTTTAAATGATTCGTCTTCTGTGCCCAAAGAACTGCTCACAATAATCATCATTCTTCTTTGCATGATATCGGACTATGCAAGATATTACTGTTGTTAGATGTTTATTGTTGTTTATTAATATCACTCGATACTTATCTATTATTAGATATTTGATGTCAGATATTTATCCAGTATTAGAGTTTTATCTACTATTAGATATTTATCTGTTATTAGATGTTTATTATTTGATGTTTATATTGTAGTTGTTTATTATTTTTAGATACTTATATGTTATTAAATACCTATTATTAGTAAATATTTACAGTAGAGACTCAACAAGGTAAAGGCCTTGTCAAACCTCTAAAGGAGGGAAAAAATGATACCTCGAGTTTTAGCTTTTTATTTTTTTCAATTCTGTGCTGCTTTGGTGTGTGGGTCTGGATTTCATATAAGGGGATAGTAAGTTCTCTTCACAGAGTAGGTAGACACAATTCCTTCTCTAGCTGGGGACCCAAGGACAGCCGATCCGGATCTCAGGCACAAGAGTATAAAAAATGGTGGACTGAAGAGAGAAAAACAAGAAGGATGGGACTTCTTGGGCTGGGGCTGTAATTGGACAATTAGCTCCAATATGCTAATGGATCAAAACTTATAAAAATGTGAGATCTTGTGACCAAGCTCTCTTTTGCTTCCATCTTAGAGCCATCCAGGCAGAGCCACGACTGTGGCTCTGGTACTGCCAGGGTGTGGCCTATGAAGGCTCTTCAATAAATATCCTCTTTATTCCCCTTAACTCTGTCTAGCCTCTGTTCTAGCTGCTTAAGGCATCACGGGCAGTGGTGTGAGGCATAGGGAACATCTCCATACACCCAGGGGTTGTTTCTACCATTGTAAGCATGTAGTGCTTGCCGTGGTGAGTTTGCAGGAGTGTGATGTAATCGATCTGCCAGGCCTCCCCATACTTATATTTCAGCCATCATCCACCATACACAGTCTTTACCCACTTGGCCTGCTTGATCGCAGTGCATAATTCACAGTTATGGATAGCCTGGGAGATAGTCTCCATGATTAAGTTCCCCTCCTTGACCATGAGCCCATCTGTTGCATCTCTTCCCTGATGACCTGAGGAGTCACGGGAGCGCTGAATCAGAAATAATTCACGCTTACGTTGCCAGTCCAGATTCACCTGAGACACTTTAATCTTGTGTTGTGGGTTGATGCTGGCCAGATGCCAGACACCCACAAAGGCCGTGCACTCACAACCCTGTGCAGCTGGACATGGGAGAGAAAATTAAGGAAGGGTTCATGGGTTGAGATAAGGACTGGGAGAGATCACTCATCAAATACCTTAACGGGCAAAACAGACTCAAATTAGAGATATGAAATCAATTTATTACTAACAAAATCAGAGCAGGATAAGGAGAAGTAAAATAAGCCCTTAAAAACACCTTCCCCCTACCCCTCCCTCCTTCCCAGCTCTACCTCTCCCTCCTTCCCCAGACAGGGAATGGGGGTTATGGTCAGTTCATCACTCGTGGTTTCTCCTGCTGCTTGTGGAGAGAAGTTGCTTCCCCTGCTGCACTGTGAATTTCTCCAACACGAGTCCATCTCATGAGCAACAGCTCTCTGCACACTGTTGCAGCATGAGTCCATCCCACAGGCAACAGTACCCATCAAACTGCTGCAGTATAGGTCACTTTTCCACAGGATACAGTCCTTGAAAGACCGGCTGCTTGTCTCAGTTTATAGACAAGTTTAGAAAACGCTCTGGAATAAGTGTTTCCTCTAAAAAAAAAGGGTTTCAACAACCCCTTTACATCAATAAGAAGTGAATACTAGTGGATGAAAGTGAACCCCCCCATCCATTTATTGACCAACAGAGTGCACACACAACACAGTAAAAAGTAAATAAATGCTTGATATTGAATTGTCAGACCTTCCCCTCCCTCACCCCCCCACCCCATTGGAACAAAACCCCAAAATGCCAGGGAAAGAAAAAAAAAACCACCCCCTTGGCACGTGGAGGGGAGAGAGGGGAAGAGATGGTGCCGGCTCCTGTCTCAGGGAAAATAACCAAAAGGTTGATGCAACAGCTCTGGCAAACAGATGGGAACCTGGTGAATCTCTGGTATTGGTCCCCTCTTCACAGCAGATGAAGCAGGTGGGTTTGGTGTCCTTTCTCTTGCTGGCTCAGCTTTTTTGGAGAAGAGGGGCCGAAATGGAGTGGCCCTTCACCTTTCCTGTCAGTTGTTCTCTCTGATCTCGGACCAAAACCAAATTGTTCAGGTCACTTTGAAAAGCCGATGAAGGATTGAACCTGCAGCCTCTCCAAGGCCAGGGAAAGAAAAGAAACTCCTGGCTGGGCTAACAAAAAAACCCAAGCTAGCCAAGCAAAAAACCCAGACTGCACAGTACACCAGATGCTGGGGGAATGAGGCTTTGAAAAAGAGTGCTGAAGAGCCCTGAGGCTTCCTCCCCCCCCCCCCCCCCCCCCCAGACCTACCTTAAAGTTACAGTAATATTACAGTACTAATTTTGGGGCATAAAAGACTATCAGGGAATAGACTAATCATCACAAAATCACCCCAAGACACTGTTCCAGCATGGGAGCAGGGCCCCTCTCTCCGTGGGTCTCCCCTGGGCTTACAGCCTACTCTAGGCCCCAGTGTGGGGCTTCTCCACGGGCTGCAGGCGGATCTTTGCATCGTCCATGGACCTCCATGGGCTGCAGGGGGACAGCCTGCTTCACCATGAGCTGCAGAAAAATCTGAGCTCTTGTGCCTAGAGCACCTCCTCCCCCTCCTTCTTCACTGACCTTGGTGTCTGCAAGTTGTTTTTCTCACATGTTCTCACTCCACTCTTCTCTGGTTGGAATTAAAACTGGGCCACCACTTTTGTTCATCTTTCTTCTCAAATATGTTATCACAGTGGCATTATCACTATTTCTAATTGGTCCAGCCTTGACCAGCGGCACTTTCATCTTAGGAGCCATCAGGGATTGGCTCTGCTGGATGTGGAAGAGGCTTCTAGCAGCTTGTCACAGGAGCCAGCCCTGTAGCCTCCCTGATACCAAAAACCAGGTAATGCAAAAACAATACATCTTGGCAGCATGAACCACCTGTCCATTGTTGTAATGTTCTTCAGTAGCCTGACCCTTGGGTACATGTGCATCTACATTACATACTTTTAAAACCAGCTTCTCTAACTGTGCAGCAATGTCTTGCCACAATTTAGCAGCCTAGATGGGTTTCCCTCGGCACTGCCAATTGGTCTTTTTCCATCAGTCTAGCCACTCCCACAGAGCATTTTCTAACATCCACAAGTCAGTGTAGAGGTAAAGCGCTGGCCATTTTTTAAATTCAGTTATATCTAAAGCCAGTTGGACGACTTTCAGCTCTGCAACCTGACTCAATCCTCCTTGTCCCTCAATAGTTTCTGCGACTTGCTATATACCACTCCATACGGCAGCTTTCCATTTTCTATGTATCCCTACAATATGGCAGGAACCATCAGTAAAGAGAGTGTATCACTTTTCATTTTCTGGTAGCTGATTATATGGTGTGGCTTCCTCAGCATGAGTCAGCTTTTCCTTCTCCTCCGATAGTCTGAAATTTTCTCCTTCAGACCAGTTAATGATGACTTCCAAGATCCCTGGGTAATTTGGGTTACCTATTCAAATTTGCTGTATGATCAGAGCAATCCACTTACTCCATGTAGCATCAATGGCATGGTATGTAAAAGGGACTTTCCCTTTGAACATTCAGCCCAGCACTTGAAGTCAGCTGTGCTTCAGTGCCAATCACTTGTGAAACACCTCAAACCCCTTTATAAACTGCTAGGATCTCTTTTTTTAGCTGGGGTGTAACAGGCCTCAGATCCTTTGTATCCCCAACTCCAGAGCCCCAGGGGTTGTCCTCAAGTGTCTCCAGGTACCTTCTGCTAGAGGCTCCAGGAAAGACCATTCTCCCCAGCTGTGGTATAGAATGTTTTTCTCATCTTGTCCTGTCCTGAATGGCCCAAGGGCTACTGCATGAACCATCTCCTGCTTAATCTGTTCAAAGGCTTGTTGTTCAGGATCCCATCTAAAATTGTTCTTCTTCTGGATCAGGTGAAAGAGAGGTTTTATAATCTGACTGTAATCTGGAATATGCATCCTCTGAAAACCCACAGTGCCTAGGAAAGCCTGTGTTTCCTTCTTGCTGGTCAGTGGGGACATAGCTGCTATTTTGTTGACCATATTTATTGGGATCTGAATATGCCCATCTTGCCATTTTACTCCTAAAAACTGAATTTAGTGGGCAGGTCCCTTGACCATACTTTGCTTTATGGAAAAAATGGCTTTCAGGACAATCTGGATTATCTTCTCCCCTTTCTCGAAGACTTCCTCTGCTGTGTTCCTCACATGATGATATCATCAATGTACTGCAAGTGTTCTGGAGCATGACCCTTTTTTAGTACAGTCTGGATCAGTCCATGGCAAATCATGGGGCTGTGTTTCCACCCCTGGTGCAGGGGGTTCCAGGTGTACTGGATGCCCCTCCAGGTAAAAGCAAACTGTGGCCTGCACTCTGCTGCTAAAGGAATGGAGAAAAACGCATTGGCAATGTCAGTGGTGGCACCACTTCACTGCCTTGGATTCAAGTTCATACTGAATTTCCAGCATGTCTGGCACAGCAGCTCTCAGTGGTGGTGTGGCTTTGTTCAGGCCACAGTAGTCCACTGTCAGTCTCCATTCTTCACTGGACTTATACACTGGTCATACAGGGCTATTGAAGGGTGAGTGACTCTTGCTAACCACTCCCTGGCTCTCCAGTTCATGAATCATCTCATGGATGGGGGTCAAAAAGTCCTGGTTGGTGTGATATTGTTAACAGTGTACCGTTGTGGTAGCAATTGGTACTACTTGTTCTTTGACCCTCAGCAGTCCCACAGCAGAAGGGTCCTCTGAGAGACCAGGAAAGGTATTCAGTTGTCTGATTCAAGGACCAATTAGGTCCAGGTGTATCGTAACTGTCTATAAAAGCAATGGGTTTCTTAATAATGATAATATATAATAGATTGATCAGCCTTCTGTGAATCATTGAGTCAATGCTAATTATTACTCGGCTGGGGACACCCTGCAGCAACAAGTGGGCAAGATTCTGGGAGGGGACACAACCAGGTCAGCTGACCCAAATTAACCAAAGGGATATTCTGTACCATATGATGTCAGCTCAGATATAAAAGCTAAGGGAGGGAGAGAGGGAGGGAGGAGGAACAGGGTGGGGGGGGTGGGGGTGTATTTTTGATTCTACAATGTTTGCCTTCCAGAGCAACTGCTGTATGTGTTGAAGCCCTGCTTCCAGGGAAGTGGCTGAACAGTGGCTCACTGATGGGAAGTAGAGATTAATTTTTCCCTTTGCTGATGTGCATGCAAACTTTTGCTTGTTTATTTCTTTTCTTTTGTAAACCGCCTTATCTAAACCTCCTAGCTGTTTTCCATCTTATTCTCCCTCCCCTGTCCCACTGGGAAAGGGAGTGATAGAGCAGCTTAGTGGGCACCTGGCCATGGTCAAACCACTACATCCTCCTCTTCTGTCTGAGGACTTGCCCACTGGAAACTGGAGCAGCATTTATCCTTGAAGGATTTATTGCAGTGCTTGTTCTTCCTCTCAGCTCACATCCCCATGCTGTTAGGGCAGAGGTGGGTTTCCCATTCCACTTCCTCATGTCCTCTCCATGTCCATGTAGGTAAGACCACAAGTGACCTTGTGGTGTGTACCCTTTCTCTTGAGCAGGGGGGCACTTTCTCCCAATAGCAGAAACTCTTTGTACTAGTAGGGCATAGGACACTTCTTTAAATTGCTGGTAGTCCTCTTTAAATTGATGGAGGTCCTTGGACAGTCTTTACACAGATGAGACACAGGCCCATATAGGGTAATAGATACTTTATTCATATTGCTGGAGTTTGGTAATCAAATTATCCACTCTTTGTTCTCTTTCTTTCATTGACATCAATGTCAGTGAGTTGATTGCATGACAATGGTACTCTCCATAGGAATTTTCGCTGCATGGTTTGTGTACACTTGACCATATCTGGATTTATAGGGGATTGCTTATTATTTGAATCCTTAAAGAGTACCTCCAGCACAGCTAATTCTCTCAGGTGCCGGATACCTTGCTCCATGGTGTTCCACCTGTCTTGGTGCACTACTAGATCATCCTTGAAAAGGTATCTTTCCCTCAAGATATACAGGAGTTGCCTCCAGAGGCTGAGTTTCTATTCTTTTCACAATCTCCTGGTCAATGCCCACATCCTGGGACAGGGATCCCAGTTGCTTGGCTTCACTACCATCTAGTTTCATATTGTGGGCCATGATATCCCAGCATCAAAGCAACCAGGTCACCATGGGATCACCCAACTGGCAGTTGAAATCTTTTTGCATACCTTGCAGTTTACCCAGGAATACGGAATGGATTATTATCTCTGGCCCTGCCTCTTCCTCCTGCTGTGAGTGCCCTACTTCTTCATCCCTAAAAGAACTGATTTTGTATTGGCTTTCTTCTTCTGTACAGGGGCAACTGCTACCAGCACAGGTTGTACCTTTGGTTCAGCTGCAGTTTGAGTGGCCATACTGCCTGTTGGTCTGCTTTCCTCCTCCTCCTCCTCCCCCTGAGGGTGCTGTCTAGTAATGGGCAGTGTCCAATAAATAGTAGCCAGGACCTAGCACCTTGTATAACTTCGTGCCTCTCTAGAACTGCCACAGCATTTTTCTTTCCAATATACTGCGCCACTATCAGGGTCCTGTGGTTGTTCAGGCGCGAACTTCCAAACCATTGGAGCAGAATTGTTCTTCAAAAGCTGGCTGATTTTCTCCCACCTTCCATGCCACTCATGATTATCCACCCTCAGGGTAGATCTCTGAAAGACCCTCCTAAAAATCTCTTGTAAGTCTAAACATGGTATGGACCTCACTGAGGAGACCTGGCAGACATAGCAACAAGAACATGCTTTCCTTAACACCCAAAAGGAATTCAAAATTCTCAAAACCTGTTGTAACAGGCCTGAAGAAGGAAAAGGGGATGAAAAGCTGGGGAAATTCATCCTCCCCTGTCCCCCCCACAGGCTGGGTACAATTATTAAAGGACTCCTAGAAGTAGCATGCAAGGTAAGGGCAGAAGGAAAGCACTGAAGACACATCCCAAATGACCCTCATTGTCCTTGATGTTCTGTCATAAACCAATATCACACAGTACATCAAAAAAACACTCCTGATCCCTCTCCCTGTTCTGAAAATCATCATGAGGAGCACATGTTGCATACACAGGAATGTATACAGGGTTAGGTGCCACAACCACATGAACAGACCAAGCAACATTGTGACCAGTGGCTCTGAACCTAATACAACAAATGCTTAGATCAAATTTGGTTCCAACCCACTCTGGTAAGATCTGTTATCTCAATCCTTTGAGCCCCAAATTAGGCACCAAATAAGGCTGTCATGGTTTAGGGATGATATTCTCCAATTTAGTGTTCCCACTGAAACACTCCAAACCATGCACTGCTCATTCACTTCCCGCTTTCCCCTGTGGCAGGCTGGAGAGGAGAATTGGAAGCACAAAAGGTAAAGATCATGGGTTGAGATAAGAACAATTTACTGGAAACAGCAGTGAAATAAGGAAACAAACAGTAATAGCAGCAATATTAATAACTGAAGTGTATGAGGGAGATGAACGATTCACACAGGATTTGTTCACCACACAGAGCCTGGCAATACCCACCCACCCATCATGCTACATGACCCCAAAAGGACCCCTTCCCCTGTTCCCAGAAAATGACATGAGGTTGTAAAGAATAACCTCTGTGTGCTAGCTTTGCCCCGTCCTAGCTACTGCAAAAATTAACCCTGTCCTGGCCAGAAGCAGGACAGGCAGATATTCTTACTTACTTTATGCATTTAAATCAGGCACCTCAGCCAACAGCCTAGGTTCTCTACCAGAGAGCAATTCAGAGCCCCAAATTCACACTTTACCTCTCTGTTCTGATTATACAGGTAGTCTGAAATTAAACTATTTATGCTGCTTGCCTGCAATCAGTCTCAAGGGAGGTTAAGTTCTGATTAAGCACAATTAATGTCCTGAATAAGAGGAGGAAAACACCACAGCTCTCACTGCTCTAGATTTATATAACAGCACCTGAAAGCCAAAGTACTCTGCAAGATGCCAAAGTAACAGTGGAGAATGCCTGTTGCAGAGAGCTTACCATCGAGATAGGAAACATGCACTAAAGTAAGGGGGAAATACACAGATAAAATGCTCTACTATCAGTTCTCACAATTTAAAGCCATGAGAGTCCAGGCATTTGACATTGTTCTCAAAGCTTCAGCCCTGAAACAACATCAAAATGAAATCAGGTTTTTCTTTGGAGGGAAAAAGGTACTTAAATGTTAGCTCAGTGTACCCAAGTTGCCAAAAGTCAACTCAAAAGCAAATTTTAAGCCTGGGTTTTTTTACATCAGCTATCTGATTTTTGATTACTTGGCTTTGGCAATACTATGAAAATCAAGCTCAGACAGGGCTAGTGACAAGAGAGAGATCAGAACCCAGCGTTACAGAATCACAGTCCAAACTTAAGGTACCAATTACATGCATAGTTTTTCCAGCTTGACAATACAGATAAGCAGATGGCTACCCATACTTTAAGCATCTCCATTTGAGTACTTCCGGCTTGGTAACTATTTTATTTTACAAAACAGCCTCACTGAAAAAAAAATTCACTTTTCATATGTACTTTGGACATCAGTACTTTGGCAGAAGAGAAGAGGGATGAAGTCGCATTCCTTACGTACCACAGGCATTCCACATTAAGATGCTTGAGCAGGCACTGGTCAGATTTTGAACAGCAGAACAGCAGTGGGATAAGTCAGAAAGGCACTGGATTAAGAAACAGGAGTAGGTAAAGTTACTCAAGAACTGACAAAAGAATTTAAATGAAATACAGGCAAGCAAATGTTTCAAATGCAGATAAATTCCCTTGTGCCACTATGCTGTGGCTGAAACAGCAATTGCAGGAGACAATATCTTAGTGGTACTAACAGAAGTTAAAAAAAACAACCTACATAGACTGAGATGGCCTTGCATGCAAGCAGCACCACAGGTCCACAGATAATGTCTGCGGTGTCCTTGTCTACTTGGAAGTGCCCACCAAAAAAAGTGTACAGTCAAGGTTATTAATTACAATATTCAAGGCAAAGCAAGTAATATTGCCATAACTGAAAGAACATATACAGAAATCTACAGTAAGGGGACTACAGAATTAGGCCATCCAACTGATTCGAGTTGCAAACTTCTCATAAATGCAATGGGAGTCTTTCACCCAGACATGTCGCTCTTATCTGTTTCACAGGTGAAAGTAATCATCTGAGCTAGTAGGATGCAATTTGATTGTGGTAGGAAAAAGCAACCGGTTTAATAAATTTGATTGAGAGTAGAAATCTGTATCACTAAACACCCATAGATCCAGAACCTGCACAACAGCAGTATGAGAAGTGATTTTAACATCTAAACTATACCTTTCCAGCCACAACATGCAGGACAGTTGTGCCATTTATTTGGGTGGGTTAGAATGACTCCTAACCTTCAACAGAAAATATAGACAGCAATTAAGAAAAACCCAACCATCATGAGAATTAAAAGTTTTATTAGTGTATTCACATGTTAGGCAAATGCAACACACATGAAGATTATTTCTTAGGTTCACAAGTTCTACCAATACATTAGTCTAGTGGTAAAACTAGCATAAATTGGTAACTTCTTTGCCAATTTTTGAAAGGTGTCTGTCCTACTTTTTCAAGGCTTGATTTTTGGTATTGCTTCTATGCCCTAGTCATTATGGCATAAAAATATCCATCACTATTGTCAATTCAGTTAACAGATTAAAAGCTGTAACACTGGCCCCATTTTTGTTCTAAAAGCTATCACTAGCTGTACTTACAAAGTACAGTAATAGTGTAATGGATGAAACAATGGGAAAGAGACAAAGACAATCCCGCTACTGCCACAATAACAAAAGAATGACAGACAGCTAGATCACAAAGCTCGTTAGTAAGATATATATTTTTCAAGTCAGAATAACCCTTCTATATAGCTTCCCAACCCAGACTTATTTGTAGAATATATTTCAGAATATTTTTATTATGGTGCAGCTGTAGTGTCCAAGGGTTCACAATAACATGCACTGTCACAAAGAACCTAGAAGTCCTCCTAGAAGTCATACGTAAGCAACCACTAGAGGTTTTGCAAAAGCAACTACTTTTAATAACAAAACCCATCAGGACATAATGAATGTGTATGATCTGGTATGCAAGTAAGCTATACAAAGCCACACAGATCAGAAATTTAAAATCTGTTACTGAAACATATTAAGAAGTTGCATCTATTTAAAACCTATATGAAAGAGTAGTTTACTTTGGTGAAGAGTTTTTCAGGGTATTTAGCTCTAAAAACTAAACCCCATGATTTTTAGTGACATCTGTTCAATGAAAAATACAGATGTAAGGGGTAAGTCAATAACCTTGTGTACTTAATCCAGTATCCAATGCTATGATAAGTTCTCATTCCATGAGAAAAAAAAACACTGACTTCAATGATTCAAGGTAAACAACAAAGTCTGAAATTACACCATTGCCAGCAATAATGCTGGCACCACATTTATCAACTCAGATGGGTAGGGAAAAGTAGATTCTCAGTGTGATAGATACTTGGAATTTATAATATTAATTGATTTAGGTCCCATTAAGTATATAGTGTCTTAAAATTTCACAGATGAATCTCAAGACATTTTTTTCCCTTCCAATTGAGGGATTTTCTTTTTCTTTAAGAAGGCAGCAAAAAGTTGAGCTTTTTATGTTTAGGACAACTCAAAAATATGATTATATAAAAAAGTATAAAAGAATAAGGGAGTAGAGTCCTGGAATTTTATAAGAGATTTACCCAAATCAAAAAAAACCCAAGCAACTATTTATGGGAACTAAAATGTAGAACAGCAGAATACTGAAATATTTGAGATCATGATGCATTACCTGTACATATACTTAGTTATTGATGTTATTGATAAACCATTAGGACACTCAATTATATACCAAATAAAAACACCATTAAGAGTCTTGAGAATGGTCCCATCTTCTTTCTGAAGAAGGCATTTCTATACACTAAATTTTAATCTAGTAGCAGAGTATAGGAAACAGAATCCACAAGGTGCTTTAATTGATAAGACCTCAAGTGCTGTTTTTCTTTTTTTTTTTTTCTTTTAAAAAAACCTTTTTAGATAGTAAACAGTTCATGGGGACCACACACAAATACTATGACAGACTAGGTGTTATATTAAGTCTGTTGATTAGCCTTGATATTTAGCCCACTGGTAACAGAGGAAGGAGTTTTACGACATGCTGGAGCAGCGTACTGAAGGGGAGCCCATCTGAGTCAATACTTTGTCCAACCATTGTAGAGGCCCATTCAGATGAAGCTCAATCCAGCAAGGAGTGCTTGTTACTGTTTGCCGCCTAGAAAATAAATAATAGGGAAGTCAGAAAGCAGCTTTAGCTACCATAAAGTTCTCCATAACATTATCAAATCTGTTTCCATCTATATCTCATACACAGAAAGATAAAAATCCACAACCATTACTGTAACTGCTACTAAACTTTTTTCAGACAGTCTTTGAAGGAAAAAAACCCAACAAAAACTCCAAAACACTCCACATCTGTAAGACACATCAATAATTAGATGCTTGTCCATAATACATTGAGAATATTCTGCTCTGGAGAAAAAGAGTTTCAGCATTTGCTTCAAGTACCACACCAAGAGCTTTACATCTAAAAATAAATTCAAAACTGAAGATTGTCCAACCAATGTGGTGTTCATGTCACAGATAGCTGTGTGCAGCTGCATCACAACCTTCAAAGAGTCTGCATGCATAACTGGGTTTGAATTTTGTAGACAATTACTGAGAAATACAAGTTAGAAACCCTTGATTCTGCATTATTAGCATGGTCAAACAGCACAATGCTATGATGATCATAAGGTCTGGCTTTTTTTTGAGCAAATGACAAGATAAATGTATAAGGAAACTGCTAGATGTCAGAAACATTGTCAAAACACAGTGTGTGGTTATACTGTGCTAACTAATGCTATCTAAAAGGAACACTAAGCTTTTATCTCAAATTTTCTGTAATCTTACATTCCTACATGTTTTGCACTGCAACATCCTCACAAAAACAACTAAAGTAAAAATTGTGTTTCCATTGTCTTCAATATAAACTTACCTATAATTTTTCACAATTGAAGCCCTTAATTAAACACCATATCGCAAGTCTCAGTAAAGCTGAAGGGCTGACAATTTAAAAAGTTTCATTCACTCTCCCATATATTGTTGTTTCAGAGACCTGTTGTTCAAAAATTTTCCTTTTAATCTCCAAAGTAAAAAAATCAGTATCAGACATACTGTGCCTGGAAAATCCTGGTTTTTTTCACTATACCTGCTCCAGGCATGGGAATTTTCCCAAACTTGACTGCCAAGACTACTGTTGCTAAGCCAGTCTTTCCTAGTAATTGTAGCTATCCCCAAGTCAAAGCAAGAAGGCATTAAGATTCAAAAGCAGCAGATTAGTCAGACACAAACCCAGCCCCTTCATTTTTACTGTTGACACTGCAACCCTTCGCTTTAAGGCAGAAAAATTAAGCCAGAGAGAAGATGAATTTCCAAAGTTGTTGGCAATTTCACATTTTCTAGGAAAAGAAAGCAGCTGGGGTCTGTGTACTCTCAGCACTCTAAAAAACATTGTTTATCTTAGCCCCAAATGCCTATGTTAAAATAAAGTGATCCAATAGAACAACCTAAATCACAGGAAATAGAATTCCATTTAGCCTTGAATCCTTTCCCAAAGAAGGAAGTTCATTATTCCAATGCTCTTAACTCCCCTACAATGTGTTCCACAACACACTTCCTCAGAATTTTATAACTGGTTCTGTTCAACAATCCTAGCTTTGCACCACACTGGCAGAAGTTGATAAAATAGCAACAGTTGCTTTGCAGCTGTATCAAAACTAAAATTCAGCCTCTTCTACCCACAGATTTCCAGCTCACATATCACTGTTTGCTGTAATTACATCTCTACTGAACTCTCTTCAGAAGATGATCCTAGACCTGGATAGTTCTTGTGATAATGTGAACACTTGACTGCTGATCTGAACTTCTACCACCATCCTCAATTCTAGCCAACATGTGTTGAGCAAAAAGTTGTAAACTATTTTGTCTACCAAGCTTATAAGCTCGGTAAATAAACAAAATGTACCACTTTGCCATACCTGTGCATTTACCCGCAAGTAATGCTCTGGCTTTGCCGAAGCCCTTTGTATGAGAAACCTTTTTGACATAATGATGAAGCACAGAAATTTTAACAAGAATGACGGATTTTACAGTGCCTTCTGGTCTATTTTGTGTCTTGGTTTGAAAGACAGGTGTCTGCTAAGGAAGGCGGGAACCTCCCTTGGAATGGGGAGTGTAAACTCCTTCCCTCCAAATTATTATAATTTTGAAATTAAGGGGCTCTCAGGCAAAGATATGAGGATAGGGATAACAGTTCTTTACTAGTATGTAAAAAAAACCCCCCAAAAAACCAACAAAACAACAATAACTATGGCATTAACAACAAACAGAACCAGGGACCCAGAAACAGCCTTCTCAGCTGCTGGCACTTTCCCCTTTGGTGCAGTTGCTGTCGCAGCTGGCAGGAATGAGCAAAAGTCCCAGGGTGGTGGGCGAGATATATCAGAAAGTCCACAGTGGTAGCTGGAACTCCGGGACGGAGCTGGCTACAGCGTGGAGAAACCCAGAGAAGTACCAAAGAAACAGCGGGGACGGGGCAGTGACAGCCTGGCTCTGAGAAGAGCAGGGAGAGGCGAAGTTCAGGATTTCCCAGGGCACACAAGCAGATGGTGATAGGTCCCTGAGGGCTAAGCTCCAGGAGTGCCGGTGAATTGTCCCCAGAGTAAGCAACAGCCTGGCTGTCCTCCTCCGATGCCAAACAGCAAGAGAGAGAGTCCCCAACTCCCCAGCCCTTATCTTTTACCTGCCTCTATTCTCTCAGTATATTTGTTGTTCCATCTCATCCCCCTCCAGTCCCCATCCCGTCGTGTCCCCGTCCCCTCCTTCCCCCAGAGAAAACTCCCAAAAACTAGAGGAGTTCCACTCCTGCCATCTCAAGCACCCAGTCATCAGTGTTTCTTAGCAACTCAATGGGAAAAAATTCCACAAGTAACAAGGAAAAAAAAGGAAAGAAAACCCAACCTCCAACATTTTGACAATTCAGACAATATTCATTTAAATACAAGGTTGTGTTTGCAGGATCAACCTCATCTTGCTTTAATCACAACTGCAGCATGTTACAGGTTTTGTGCATTGTTATGTGTAGTGAATGTAATTTGCACGTTTTAATATGGTATATGTAATATTTAGTATTTTTGGAAAACACACGTCTGTATTAGGAGCCACCCCCACATAGGTGAAACTCAGTCTATGTTGAAACCTTATTTACAAGTGAATGTATGTGGCTCCTCCGGAGATAGGCCATATCTTGAAGGATATGGGGACGCCCAGGTGCTGATCATCGTGTCAACGAGCCAAGATTGATATCACAGAAATCCTCCAAGCTGTTACATTTGAATGCCGGATTCCCCTAACTACATCATAGAGATTAATCACTACCCGACACCGACACCGAATTGTTCCAAGAAAAGAGATTTTATCAATATGTGGGACTCTGAATGGAAAGAAAGGACTGATTGCTGAAATCCCGGCCTTGGGTGGAATATACCCTATAAAAACCGTTCCTACCAGGAGGGTGGTGTGTGGGCATAGAGGGACGCTCTGCTGAGGTTGTCTACTTTGTGACACACCCGTGCCGATCCTGGGCTCGGCACTGCCCTTTCATTTGTGGCTGACTCAGATTGAACTCGATTGCTAAAAATTAAAAATATATTTTTATTTTTAATTTGGATGGATCAATTTTCATTTATAACAATCTTGATGACCCTGACGTGATCTGGTTTGGGGGTATCCAGGGGGTTCCCTATCCTCGATCCAGGCAGTGCCCTGCTGATTTCAGCGGCCGGACAGGACTGAGGAACTTCACGGAACCAACCAGATTCTGAAAACAGCTGTCGGAAACTCAGAGTCGAACCTCCGAGGCTGCAGCAGCAAATTTTCGCTCATAAAATTGACGTGCACGAAGAATCCACGTGGGAAAAGGAGCCATAAGTATCGCATGGTTGAGTGGGGCGTGATTGAGTGTGTGTGTGAGATGTGATGCTGTCACGGGACGAGAGCAGACCCCAAAATCACAGTTTCACTATCCTGCAAGGGAAGTGGTTGGTTGCAGGGGAAGCGAACAAGGTCGGGTATGCTCACAACACACATACCACCTGAAACTCAGGAAGTTACAGGGATTCAATCACGGATGGGTCGGGGGGGGGGGGGGGGGAGGTACGTTCTCATATATTCAAGAAATTGGTAAACCTCACTGACTCTGGACTCGGGGAGTCCAGGAAAACAGGTAAAAGAGAGCTCACTGGACTTCCAACTGAAAACCCACGGACCGGTTCACTGCGCGGTTATTAGGTTGGCAACGGTCGGTCGGGACAGACCAGTTTAAACACTTGGTAAGACTTGGTCCGGGACAGGACCGAAATATACATTTAGCACGTGGGCAACTGACTTCTTGGAACAGCTTGCAGACACTGACTTGGAAAATACAGTAAGGAAACTTTAAACATGGGACAAAAGAACAGTAGGGTTCAGGAAAGAACTCAAGGGAATAGTTCGAAATTAGGAAAAGGTAAAAACCTAAAATCAGAAAAGGTAAGAATTTAAAATCAGAAAAAAGGGAAAAGGACGGATTTCCCAAGATTCCGAGGGAAAGCCCCTTGGGATGGATGTTAGAACACTGGGAAGATTGCTCCACGAGGCAGGGAAAGTCAAAAGAAAAGATGATATATTAATGTGTAGAGGTATGGGGAAATATGGAAATTGGAAAATACCAGTAGTGGGCCATATTTAGTACTTTTTGAAACTAAACTTTGCCAAGCATTATCGGATCATTTATATGAGGAAGGGGGGGGGCTGGACAATGAAGAATTAGACTATGCCAGATTGTGGGAATATGCTAGCACGCGACTGTTCCCTATTTAAGACCTTTGGCAGCAGGGTGAGTCCGAGCAGAGCTTGGGAGCCCCTGGGGAGTCTGCCTCCCCCGTGCCGGGTCCCTCCTCCCCAAGCACAGGTCCCTGCAGTTGCCCCAGCGGCTCCTCAGCTTGGTCTCCACAGACGTGGGCACCACCGCTTGGCACGCAGCCATCAGCTGCGGCAATGCCAGACACAGCAGGACGTGCCCAGTCCCTCCCCTCCCTCCCAGTGCAGTGGGCAGACACGGCCACGGCACTTCCCACTGGGGAGGCCGCATGTCCTCCCCCCAGTGAAGCTCGGCGTGGAGCGGTGGCAGGGAGA